TATACATTTCAAATCTAAATTTTCACCGTGCAACGCCGGGTAACTCAGCTAGTATCTATATACATTTAACGTGTATAAACACGTATTATTATTATTAATTACAGAAACCGTCTCCTATACTCACGATCGGCCGTTGTTAGTGTCTTGTTTTGCTTTATAAATGCTTTTTGTCGACTCAGAATGTACAAAACTCATGGATTTAAATGTATATTTAAACAGGTTGTTTAATAAAAAATAACAGTTTATTTAATAAAAATTATAAGGGTGTTATTGATCTTTTTAAATTTAAGAAAATATCATTGTAGTGAAAAACGTTTAACAAGCTTTATGTTTTATAGAAGTTGATAAAATGTCAATAAAAATATAATTATACATGTACATTATATACAGTCTGGCACCTGGAGTAAGCAACAAACATGTAGTCTGGGAGCCAGGGTAAATATGTATATATATTCTGGGAGATGGTGTAAGTAACAACTATATGGTCTGAGAGCTAAAGTAAGCAACAGCTATATGGTCTGAGAACTAGTGTAAGCAACAACTATATGGTATAGCAGCTAAAGTAAGCAACAACTATATGGTCTGGGAGCTAGTGTAAGCAACAACTATGTGGTCTGGGAGCTAAAGTAAGCAACAACTATATTGTCTGGAAGCTAGGGTAAGCAACAATTATATGGTCTGGGAACTAGTGTAAGAAACAACTATATGGTCTAGGAGCTGAAGTAAGCAACAACTATATGGTCTCGAAGCTAGAGTAAGCAACTGTTTGTTACGCTGAACCTGGTAACCGATGTGTGTAGATGCCAGGAAGTCTGGGTGTCAAACTGTATTCACACCAGTAAAAATTGTATGGGACTTTTTGTAACACCAACATGGGAAAACGCAAAAGAAAAAAATTCAAAGAAAATTGAGATTTTGGAATTTGTGAAAATATCCACATATATGTATGAATTAGAGCGTAGGATTCATGTTTAACCATAGAAGTACTAGAAATGACAGGTTTAGCAAAACTAGCGAACAAAACAAACCAATCATCAATAGTAATAAAAGGGAAAACAAACCAAAAATAAAGCATTTAATTTCTGATGCTTGGTTTGGTTGTTTTTAAGATACACAATGAACTATCTCTATTCTGCTCACCATGGGTATCGAACCCCGATTTTTAGCATCGTAAGCCTGCAGACTTACCAATGTGCCACTAGGGGACTGAAGCTTGGCACCATAATTGAAAGAACGTTGTGGTATACTTAAATTGATTGGCTTAAAAGAAGAGTTGCCCCAAACCCAGAACAGATGTAAACATTGTCTGTGGTCTGCGTCACCGTTCATAACATGTGTTACAAGTCATAAAGAACTTAAGAACAATTAACAAATTTACTTACGTCTTCACATTCAGTCTATATCAATAGTAATCCCACACACTGATGGTGTGTTAGTTATCAAACATTTTATTGACCGAACGTTTATACTTGTATCCGCCTTCCAGAGTTAGTGTTAAAATGTTTGTTCGTTGAATTTCACGCAAAGTTAATCGAGGGCTATCAGCGCTAGCGACACTAATTTTAAAGTGACAGACTAGAAAGAAGGTAGCTATTTAATACTATCCACCGCCAACTCTTGGTCTACTCTTTTACTAACCAATAGTAAGATTGGCTGTCACATTGTAACGCCCCACGGCTGAAACGGCGAGCATGTTTGGTGACGGGATTTGAACCTATGACCCGCAGATTGCACGTCCAATGTCCTAATCACCATGCCATGTTAAAACTAAATGCACCCGAAGTTAATGGCCAGTTTTAACAGCAAGTAACTATAGTAACCATTAAGTTAATGGCCAGTTTTATCAGCAAGTAACTATAGTAACCATTGGAACAAAGATAGATTCTTCATTTGTTAATCTGTTCGTCAAAAACAACAAATCGACAATAAGTTTGCTGTTGTTGTTTTGTTTTTACCTGACTTTTATTTTAGATATATTGATTATATTTTAGGTTTAGTAACTTGGAAGTAAGAAATCTTTGAACAATTTGTTTGTTCTGTCTAATCTTTCCATCCATCACTTAAGTTTACTCCTACTATTTCAGTTAGGACGTTGAGCGAGTAACAAAACATCGAATCAGTGGCAGGGGAACATCTCTAAATCTACAGCTGTCAGCAGGCTTATTCTGCATGCTTCACATGATGTGGGATCTTGCACTGTATTCTGAACATTGACGTATACGTTTCTAACAAAACGCTTGAAAACACTGTACAATATAAACCTATCCATAGTCAACGCAATTATAAATCCATTCATCTCATAGGAACTAAATATGCCATCCCCCCGGGCCAGTTATTAAGACTTAGACGTTTTTGTTCTAATAACCACTGTCTAAAACTCATAACTGACGAAATGACCCGTTTCTTCGTAATTTTTCCTGTTAATGTTAGGGAAAAGGCCAGAAGTACCGTCTTAGAGATTTATTACAAAAAAAAAGAAATTATAAAACCTTCTTCTAAGCCTAAAACAAGTCCTTGGCTTTACCTTACCATCCTTTCACCAGATGTTAGGAAAACACGAAGGTTCAAAAGGTTAATTTAAGACAAAAATACAAAACCCTATACACCAAGTGCTTTCGAAAGGTGGACCTTTCTTTACCAGAGCCCCCCCCCCCCCCAGTGGCACAGCGGTATGTCTATGGACTTATACCGCTAGAAACCGGGTTTCGATACCAGTGGTGGGCAGAGCACAGATAGCCCTTTGTGTAGCTTTGTGTTTAATAATAAACAACAATCTTTACCAAAGGCATTCACAATTTGTCCCTGATGAAGAAAGGGCCACCTTTCGAAAGCATTCGGGTTATAGGGTTTTGTCTTTGTTGTTTCATTCTTTCGTCAGACATATTGCCAGAATTATACAGAATAACTTCATCCTGCTAAACAGTGACCCATCTTCTTCCAACTTTTTTATTAATCCTCGCCTTACAGCTTTCAAACGTGACAGAAATTTAAAAGACTATTTGGGACATTCCAAATTACACAGTATTGTCATCTGTTAAAAAGCCGTGTCAACGCATCATATGTATCACACGCTAGCATACTGACGACAATACAGTTTTATCCAGATAAAATTAAACTAAGCACGTTAAGGGCCACTTTTTTGTACATCTAAATCTTGTTGGTGACAGTAACAAAGACAACCTTGTCCCAAGAATGGACTTCATGAACACCTGCAGCTCGTTGTTCCCGGTAACAAAGACTACCTTGTTCCAGGGGAACAGGATAGTCTTTGTTACCGTCACCAACAAGACGTAGGTGTTTACGAAAAAAACATCTAAACTCCCATACTTACAACGGTACTGAAGACATGACAACCACGTTTTAACTCATGTCCCACTTGACACATTACAGCAAGAAATCCTGGGAGATTTTTTAAATTAATTGAATAAAATTAATCAAGCATTAAACAAAACTAAAGAGGAAATTAATCTAATGAAGAAAATGGGTATTTATAAAATTGGATGTGAATGTGGTTGTGTATAAATTGGTCAAACTAGAAGAAATTGAAAATTTAGAATAAATGAACACCATTTTATTTTAAATTTAAATTCTAAATTTCCTCAGGGTCTGAATTAAAAAATTTATTTCAAATAATCGATTACTCTGTTATACCTTAATTCACATTAGTTGTATATTTACAAAATTCTGTTGTCGTCACAAATGGTGAGTACCGCCAATTGATTATATATATATTTATCTATGTGTATTAATATATATATATA